TCAGCTGCAGGCTCAGCAATGCTGCCCTCACTTTTGAGGTCTGTGATTGTGAAGTCCTAGATCGCTGGTTTCTAGTAAATGGTGCAGTGTGAGCTTTAGCACTATGCCAAGTTAAAAAACCAAGTAGAGGCATTTCATCTGATCTACAGGAAACAAGTGAAGATAAGCACAGATCATTTTCAAACAGGAAATCAATTGTTTTACAAGAGTAATTAAAATTGTTTTTCCAATAAAATAACGTTACATTTGGGGCTGTTAGGGATATATTATTTGGGCTCAGTAAAAGAAAAGATGCTCTGAAATTCAGGTTGGATGCCTTTTGGGAAGAGAATAATTTAATATAGAAAGGAGTAGTGGTTTGATAGGGGAGGTTACTATCCAGGGGGTTTCTGAAATTTAATCTATGATTTCACAGACCAAAGTTACTTGAAGCTACAAGTTGTCAGTAAAATCTACACTCAGCTTTGCCAGTCTATGCATTTCCTCTGCACAGGGACAAAGAGAAGAGGGTGCTCCAAAGACAGCAATCAAGCTTCACTTCCAGAGAGCTGCTGCCTCACTCAGAGCCCCTCACCCCACTGCTACCTATGGTGAGACTTGCTGTAGGGTGGTGTATTGGTTTGGGGGATATTTTGCCAGGGGAAGAATATAATACAGGACACATATTTTATATGATTATTTATAATAGTCACCCAAAGAATGATATACAAGAGAGTACAGGAAATCTGTCCACACACTATAAATCAGGAATCCAGCTGAGGCCTGGATCCTGCAATAATGTCCTGCGTGAGTCCAGCTGAAGACCTAGAGCCCATAACAATGCCTCCCACGAGTCCAACTGGAGGCCTAGAGCCCATGACAACATCTCACACAGGCCTGTTTCATGGACCTGCACTGGGAAGGCCCAAAGGTCAGTGGTAGCATCTAGGAAGTCTGTGCCAGTGGGATGAAGGATCTGTGCTAGCAGGATGAGGGATCTGTGCCAGCAGGCTGAGGGGCCTGCACTGCAGCCGGGAAGCAAGGCCCAAAGTAAGAGCCAGAGCTCCTCCGGAAGTTACCACAGCCGTCCTCAGCAGCAGAGGTCTTGAGCTTTTCTGGTGATGAAGATGGCGGAGTTCCCATCAGGAAAGCCAACGCAGCATGCTTCTTCAGGAGACTGAGCTATTCACTATTTTCCCCTCCAGAGCCAGGAAGCGATGCTCAAAGTGAGGACCAGAGCTCCCCCAAAGTGAACCAAACCATTCTCAGTACCAGTGAGGTCCTGAGCTCCTCAGAGGACGAAAACAGCCAAGTTCATCAGGAAAGCCAGCATAAGGAGCTCCTCCAAGAGAATCAACAGCTCCCAACAGCCCCTCAGTTCCCAACAGTCTTTTTTCTTCTCCAGTTCTGCCTCTTATGCTGCTGGCAACAATTCCCAGGTGGGCCTCCCACACCCAGCACCACGCTTACTCAGTTCAGCTGGGGGTTATAAGTTGCCCACCAGTTATCAATCCACTACAGGTGCCTACAATGAGAAGTCCCAGAAATCTAAGCCCAGCAATCAAAATTTTTGACAAGATTATCTTCACAGATATTTATTTTAACTTTTTAAGTCACCAACGGGGTAACGCAAACCCCAGGTCTCGGTTCTTACCACGCTGTCCCTGTGTTTACATGCGTTGTTACGTATGACGCTGTCCTGCGGAGTACCCGCCAGCCTTGTGCTTTGTGGGGTGTGTTCATGTCCTGGGACAAACTTGGGCAAGGCGGCTTGTGTTTTAGAACCGTTATCTGCAATCCAGGAACTGAATAAAGGTGGTGAACTAATCAAAACAGAAGAAAAATGTCCGATCCAGGAATCAATGATTATTGTTTTCAAGGTGGCCGCACTTGTAATTAGCAGGTACTGGTATGATCTTTAAACCACCTGACACATAATTAGAGCGAAAGCCTCATATCTGAATATTCCCATGTTGAACTCACACTGGAGAACAAAAGCACAGAACAATTAGCTCTGCAGATAACTGAACACAGTGTGTCCCTAAGAGTTCTCACTTCCTTCCCCTTCCCTCAGGTACATTATGGGACTGGGAGGCCAGGGATCTGGATGAGCACATATTGGGTAGATATCAGAACCCACACATCCCAGTCAGGATTCCCCACACAACCCTTACAAAAGGACCGAGTTCACCGTGGAAGTGCTAGGCAGACAGGCCTGCATAACACACAGGGTCAGTGCAGGGCCCTCAGAGCACAGGGGGTTGAAGGTGCATCTGTTTCAGCTTCAAAGTCATGTTCTTTTCTTGGTCACTGCTATCAGGACAATCATAGCCACTGTGGGTGCTGGAGGAATCAGGCTCAGAGGCTGCTGAAGGAAATGAACTAATGTCAGTTATACAAATATTAAGGTCTCTGATTGGGTTGGGTCATTCAGGAGCTAGTAAGAGAGGCAAAGGAGGAGTCCCATCCCTGCCTGGAAGATGAACGTCTACGTATGTAGAAAACCCCCTGCACCTCTTTCCTGCACATTTCACGTAGAACACAAGTGGTGCTGGACACAGAGTGGAGATGCTGCACCCCAGCTCACTGGAGAATCGGTGGGGCACGGAGAGACCTGATCTGTTTACAGACGGAACAACATGACCTTCCTCTGAAGTTGGCAGTAAAATCCTGCAGCTTTGGGATCCCACCCACCCTCTCTCCAGACACGTGTCTAGAGCCCCCGTCCTGTGATAATGGTGAAAGTCTGCCCTTGATGTTCTTTTCCTACCAGTAGAAAGCAAATTTTTGGACATAGCATGCAAAACAAGCTGTTCTCTGGTCTTCCCAGGTCACCACTTAACAAGGAGCAACTTCAGAATACTCCTGGATCCAGAACACCAGCCTGGAGAACTGCTCATCCTCCGCTGGGCTTCGCAGCGGGAACCGAGCTCTCCTGCCAGAGCTGCAGGATGAGGCGCAGACCCCAGGCCTCCTGAGCGCGGAATCCAGAGCATGCCCCCTCCACACCCTCAGGCGCAGCCTCATCACCCTCATCACATAGGGCGTCCCCCCTAATCCTTGCGTCTGACCATCGTGTCCCTTCTGGGCAGTGATCCTGAGCAGCCCTTGCTCTGCACAGGTTCAGAGTGAGAGGACTTTGGAACAACAATATTAGTAGAAAGCATTCTTCTCCCTGAATTAGTCAAAATATGTACAGCAATAATGTGACTCACTCTCTAGCTTAACACCATTTTAAAAAAAATAAGATACGCTGTGTACACGGACCAGCTCTCCACAGTGAGTGTGAGCATTTTGTGCTGCAAACGTGTACTAAGGAAAATAAAAAATAAAGTAATAAAGAGATGTATTAAGGGCTAAAAAATTTTAAAAAAGCATGGTCAAATTCAGAGACAGAAGTCGATGGTGCGTGCCAAGATGGGGTGAAGTCCTTACATGTTGTACATCGGCCAACTACCAACAAAGCTAAGCATCACGCACCGCACGCGTGTACCAGAAAAAGTAAAGACATTAACGACTTTTTCTGGCACAGAGTTTAGTTTCATAAGAAGAGCCCTGTCGGGTTCCGTAACAGTGCACATTTGCTGTGTGACACTCAGTGATTAAGACTGGCACTTTCTGTCATGTGTCTGTTACCACCACAATCGAGGGGGTGGAAATGCAGGGTGGCACTGGGTGGATCCCAGGAAAGCAGACCACAGAGGCGCTCCTGATAAACCCCAGCAGGAGGACTCCCTGAGTCACGGCTGTGCTTTCGGGGCTCTGCGCCCTGGGCTGAGCCGGGCTGTGGGGTGGGAGACTGCTGGACCCTAGGTTCAGGCAGGACATGGCCAGGACCCTTGGCAAATAGGCCCCCAGGAGAGGGTAAACACTGAGGGCCAGGGGACAGAGTCAGGAGCCCAGGCCAGGAGGCCTGGTGGGTGGGTTGGGGGCGGTGGTCAGGATGCCGGTATACGTGTACACCAATTCCCCAAGATGAATGTCATTATTGTGGCATAAACGGATACTGATAAAAGATTTTTCCGAGAGCAAGAAAAAAAGCACGAGCTGAGCAGTGCTTGGATGCGCTGGATTGTACACGTCAGTAAGTCCCCAGGAAGTCAGAGAGGGCAGGACTGGAAGGAAGGCTGCCGGAGGAGGTGGGGGAGGGCGAGGTGAAAGCTCGGGGTCCGCACACCCCACGACTGCGTCAGAGCACTGAGCTCCGCTCGGGAATAAGGACAGCAGTGTGTCAGGCTGAGGTTGGGTCAGCAGAAAGACTTCTTCTTCTCACCCTAAGAGAGAAGCCAGGAAGCATTCGAATTTAAATAAGAGATCGTCTGGGGACACTGAGGAGCATCGGTGAGCCCAGCGCTGTCCAGTTATCACACACACCAGCTCGGTCCATGAGGAGGGAGGACTGCGGTAACAGGGTCGTGCATTTGAAGGACAGCGCTACTGTCATCTGTGCCGGTCTTCTGGGGTCAGAGAGCAGACAGCTGTCCCCCAGCGACTCCAAACCCAGAGGTGACCACACTCCTGCAGCCCCACACCGGTGCCGCGGGCACCAGGAAGTCGGGTTCTCCTGAGCCGTCTCCTTGTCTGTAGATCTGAGCAAATGTATTTCTCAACACATTACTCTATGTGGAATACAAGTGCTGGAGCCGGCAGTGAGCTGGGTAGGAGAGGGGCAGGGAGATCACGCAGCCGGGTGGAGGGAGGAGGCCCTGCTGGCAACGTGGCCCCAACACCGAGCGGGGTCCCATGCCTCCCCCCTTGGTTACCTGGGTCTGGGCCAAAGCACACACAGTACTGAGGGGCCTTAGGCCCCAGGGTGGCGCTCTGGACCCTGCTTGACCAAATGAAGCTTCAAGTACTGTTTACTGAGTGTCCCTAAGTGCTGGTCTCTCTACACAGTCCTGAGGGTGCAGCAGTGAGCAGCATAGGAACACACACACACAGACTCTCACACTCATACACTCACACAGGCACTCACACACACACTCACACAGACACACACTCACACACACACTCACCGTCCTAGTGCGGCTCATGTTTGACAGCCCTTCTTCCATTCCCTTCGCATTTCCTCTCCTTTTTCCTTCAGTTCTGCAGATTCACCCTGTGCTAGGCCCGCTGCTACACAGAGGTGCCCAGTGGTCCCTTCACCCTCCCTCAGCCCTGCACGGGTGTCACCAAGGCCGTGCACCGTCCTCAGCCTCTGCGCAGGAGGTGCAGCCCTCATCTGCGGCGGGGGGCCTGTCCCTGCAGCCAGATGCGTGAATAGGGTGGGTGCGCACAGCGTCCTGTCTGCGAGCTGCCTCTCCCGTGGATGTGCTCGGCAGTGACACCCACTGGACATATTCTTAATCACACTTTGCGAAGACCCTCGGGAAAGGGATTTCGAGCTGCTCCAGGAAGCGGCGAGGACGATGGGACGAGTGTGCTCAGGTGACGGGGAGAACTCTGCAGGATGCGCGGCGGCGTCTTTTGTTCACTGTACGTTTGATCGCCCTTTGCGTGCTTTCCCATCGTGGTGCCTTCTGCACCCGGAGCTGCGGTTGTGAGACGCACAGACGCCCGGGTCCGCCGGGCACCAACTGACCTGCGCGCTAGCTCCCATCGCGCCTGCTCCGCACGGGGACATTGCTTTGGTCGGGGCGGGCGGCCCCCGAATTCTCTATTTCTGGGTGCATGCAGGATGCCAGGGCTCATCCTGGCCACGCCCCTTGGGGCGCCACCGCTGTCAGGGCACTTGCCCTGTCTCAGCCTCCCCTGTCCCAACTGCATGGCGGTGCTCCTGGGTCCCGCGGGGAGACTGCTTAGCTCAGTCCTGACATGCACGGTGACTGCAGTGACACTGCTCTGGGACTCACACCCGGGCTCCGTCCTGCTCCTGAGAGACTCAGCGTGGACAGACCCAGCAGCTCTGTGGGGGTCAAGTAGTTCCCCGCACTACACTTCAGGAAGCTGCAAAATGGTGCTCACTTCAGCTCTGGCCTTTAAGGTTTCTGAGGCGAGAATTAAACTGGAAGCCAGGTGTGCGGTACAGACCTGCCATTCCAGCACTCCGGGAGGCTGAAGCAGGAGGGTCACAAGTCAGCGCCCAGCCAGGGTAACTTGGCAGTTTAGGGAAACTGTCTCGGAAAACAATGGCTGAGATGTTGCTCCCTGCAAATGCCGGGCTTCAACTCCAGTACCGCAAAGAAAAAAGGAACGATCAACTTAAATAGCTGTTCATGTCACGCTGACGGAGACGCTGAGGGGTACTAAAACGCGCAACACTGTTCTCAGAAAGCTGAAGTCAGAGGCGAGGGCCCTGCGCCCAGGCTGAGGACCAGGCCCTCCCGTCAGTCAGTGACTTGCAGAGCCGCACCCTCAGCCTGCGCCGGCAGATAAGCAGCGCCAGCCGAGCCGGCCGCGCCCAGGGCCGTCCTGTGGGCACACAGCAGCGAGTTCGCCGCCGCCGCTCACCCCGTCACTGGGTCACCCGGTCACCCGGACACGCGGTCACCCTGGTCATCCGGACACCTGGACACCCGGTCACCCTGGTCATCCTGACACCTGGACCCCCGGCCACCCAGGTCACCCGGACACCCGGACACCCGGTCGCCCGTCCATGGCGTCAGGCCCGGGCGCGCGGCTGCAGGAGGACGCGCGCTGCGCCGTGTGCCTGGACCTGCTGCGCGCGCCGGTGAGCGTGGACTGCGGACACAGCTTCTGCGCCGCCTGCGTGCACGCGCTGCTGGAC